CAGGAGGGGGTGTTCATGCAAGCTTTTGATGTCTAGTTGGTCATTAATGAAATTGGTGCTGATTTCAAGTCCAGTATGGCGGCTAAAGCAATCATGATGAAAATCTTATCATCACTATTGAACAAAAAGTCATAGACATGGGAGTTTTCATCAAGACTTCCATAGAAGGACAGCTGTTTAGAAATGAAAATGGTGTCGGTCTGACCTCCAATATGTCTACCCTAATGGCCATCTTTAAATTCTTGTCATGTCAAGATTGCACTATCACTTGATGAGTTGTGGTTTAGTTAATCTTAAATGAAAATGGTGTACATCTAATGTCCAATATGACCACCATTGCTGTGATGGGTTGTGATTTGATGTGATTATGATTTTTGATACAGCTTTAACAATTTTTCAGTCATTGTTACAATGTGATGTCTAGAATTGGGGGGCGTCATGCCGCAGACATGTAGCATGATGTCACATCCTGACACCAGGCTGACCAGTCCTAACACTAACCTCTTAATGCTAAGCATCAAACAAGGCAGCTGTTAATACCATTCTTGTAAGTCTATAAGTCTTTGGTATACTCTACAGGGAATTGAACCCATGACCTCCCGCATCCGAGGCGGACACTCTAACCACTAGGCTACTGGAGCGGTTGGCCACCATTGCAGCCATCTTGAAAATCTTGCTTCTCCTCGACAATAAAGTCATATCGACTAGGATTTTTATTGGGTCTTGTTGGTATTACATTAAAAGGTGATTTTTTAAAGTTTAGTATGTCCAACATCCACAATGTTGGCCATGTTGAAATTCTTGTTATAGCTATTCAGATTGAAAGATTGGTATAGGGGTTTTTATTGGAAGATATTTTGCAGACTCTATTTGCGTAAACTAGTAAATTGGCTCAATGGCAACAACAGTGAAAACTTTTCATATATCAAAAGTGTGTCATATAAAGGTAGTCAGTTGAAATGTTGGAAACAAACAGGAAATGATATAATAATCAAACTTTATCAAAACTGGAAGGCTCATGGGGAAAAAAATTGCATTATTTTACCAATACCTGTTGTTGCAGGCTGCAGGAAATAACTACTGGCTGTGTGTGTTTGAGACCCTTGGTCTAGTTATTCCTAAATGAAAGGGATGCAACCTGACCTTCAGTATGGTGGCCATCTTGAAAATAATGTTATATATACTGCTTCTAGATGGATGGCCATTTTAAAAAATTGTTTTCTTCTGTAGACTTTTGATGGTCTGAAATGAAAATGGTGCTAATCATACATCCAACATGTCATCCACAATGGCTGTTTTAAAAATGTCACTTTTCCAAAATTGATGGTCATTTTGACCTGGTATTTTCACCAAAAAACTTGAAATGATGTCAGCTTGGTCCTAAATAAAAATGGTGCCAGTCTGATGTCCCATATGTCCACCCTAGCAACTGATTTGGAAATGTTATTGCTAAAGAATATCTGAGATGGTTTTAACACTGCAGTTAAAAATAAATGATCTTGTATTGAATTCATTGACATTGTTTGGCCATGGCAGTTAACTTTATAGCTTCATATGGGATTTCACATGTAACAAATATAGTTCTACAACCACTGCACATGCATTTTATAGGTGAATTGTGTTACATGTAGATGTACATTTTAAAGGTTTTGGCATTTGCAGTCCAATTTGGCATGGCTCTTGTTCGATCAATATTAAATCTTGCAGCAGAAGATTCTTATAACCAGCGTGACTCAAACACATTTAAAACATTTTGATGAAATTTGGTATGCACATTGTTTAAATGTCTGCATTTTTTATGGTTCGTCTTGTAAACTGCATTTTGGAAAGAGTTATGGCCCTTGCCAAGTAACTTTAGATTTTCAAAAGGGATGTGACTTTTAACTTACGTTGCTCAAGAACCTTTTGACATATTCTGACACAGTTTAATAAAATTCTCTCATAGATTTGCTTGAGCATTGTATGGGTTTAGTCTTTTTTAGAAGAGCTGTCATACCCCACCCAACTTATTGCTCCTCGCTCTGACTTTTCAGTATAACTTTACTACAGGATTTTACTAATTAAGCAAGCTTATCTGTACCGTTAAATCAAGCTTATCTGTACCGTTAAATCAATGAGACTGTTGCATGTCCAGCACTTCACCACATTTAGAAGATTTGTGGCCCCTGAATGATAATAATCTCCAAACTTTGATTTCCCAACAGAAGTTACTTGGCTTAAAGTCCTGCAGACATAATTTTAGTATGGGTCCCAAAGTGATGTACCCTTCACTAATAAATCCAGTTGCCATTTTGAAGAGATATAGAGAAATGAACTTTGGCATTGAATGAATATGCTTGTTAATTTCCACGAATGACAGACCAAGAGCGAAATGTTCTAAATATAAGTATTTGAATTTCTGATGAAGTTGCTTAGATTGTTATGTATGCAGACAGCAAAACGACTAATGTCCAAGCTTAATAAAAAAAATTCTCATGTATCCACATCCGAGTTCATTAAAGATGCGTAGTATACCAGTAGTTCTCTAATAGGGTTGGACGTCATTAATATTTTATGGACGCTGATGTTTACTGAAGAAGCTTCTATATTAATAACATCTCATTGCAGTGTTTAAGGGTTGTTATTTGTCTCCCAAAGTAATTGTTTTTATTAATATGGACAGCAAAGATTTATGGAGCATTGTATTGATTATTGACAGTATATCACAGTTCTGAGTATCTGCTTGATCAATCTTGGTAAATTTTCCACTATTTTATTCCTGACATGAAGGGGTGCCTATAAGCACACATTTAAGTGAAATAATTTTTGAAAAAGTAAGTCGCCAGGCAACACCCACTGATCGATGCGAAATAAAATTGAGTTGAAACCAGACAGTGTCGGGGCTCTCATGTGCCTCGTTTTCTTTAAAATCTTTTAACCAAAGCTCATATTTTTCGACAAACGGAACTTAATGCAGATACAGAAATTTGCTACTTGGAAGATGTAACTTGAAGAAAAAAGAATTGTCACCCAAATTGAGCAAAATCAACCTTGCACCAAATGATTATAAATCTGTGTTTTCCGTACAGTGTAAAGATGTGAAAGCAGATACGGTAATGGAACTAGTTACTTGACAAATCTGAGAACCTGTACAGACAAAAATAATTACAAATTTGGGTGAACCAGTAATAATTGACATAGTCATTATTATGCTTGTACAAAATTGTGTTGGACAAAAAGGCAAGACATCGTGGGATACTTTTATTGTGAGGGACAAAAGGCAAGAAATGTGGAGGATACTAATTTTTGGACGGACAAAAATGCAAGACTTGTAGGATAATTTTGTTGAGAGACAGACGAAAGACTGGAGGATAATAAATTTAAATGAAGCAAAAACATGAGAGTACAAACTAATAACATTTACAGGTATTAATCAGTATAGCTGTAATTTCAAAAACTCGATTAAAACAATTTTAAAATATTAAAATTGATATGGAACAAAAACGGCAAAGAAAAAATTCTGAATCATGCGAATAAACATCTTTTAGCATAGAAAGAATTGACTTGTAATATTTTTAGAAATGACGTACCTGCATCATTAACTAAATTAAATATAGATATTAAATCTTATATTGAAATGTCAAGAAATATGCTTGTTTTGTTTTTGTTTTTTTTAATTTAAATAATTTTTTAAGAATATTTTTATTTTATTACAGGTTAAGGTTACATATTTCCTGTACATGCGTAGTTGTTTTATTTTACCTCCAACTTTCAAACCCATGCATTCAAATTCATACTGTACATATTTATTTTGTGGTATGGATTTTAACGTAGCTTTAAAAAAAAATTGTCATATCGCTACGATGTCTCCAGTGTAACAGTTTTTAGGGATAACTAGCACTGGGGCATCATGCCGCAGACATGTAGCATGATGCCCCACCCAGTCACATTATCGTGGCACCAGGCCGACCAGTCCTAACACTAACCTCATAATGCTGAGCGACAAACGAGACAGCTGTTAGTACCATTTTTGAAAGTCTTTGGTATGACTACCGGATTTTGAACCCACGACCTCCCGCATCCGAGGCGGACGCTCCAAGCACTAGGCCACCGGAGCGGTTCTGTTCATATTTACAGATGTTGATTTTTTTTTTCACACTGAATTACGAACAGCTTCGTTTATGTTTAGTATTTGCAAAATCTCGTAAGACATCCATGTTGACAAGGTTTTCGCTATAAAAGTTCCCATATTGAAATGACTTGTTTTGGTTCTTATCAGTGTTGTCCGTATGAATTTACAAAAGTAGCTAGTGCATCACCATAATGTTGAAAGCACCGCATATAAAGTTGAATGGACCACGCTTTATGTACCCTGCACTAAAAATAATGAATGTACAAGCACTGCACATAATGTGTTATTCCACCACCAAATAATGAATTATCAACCGCATGTATCGAAATGTCCACACCATATGAATATTCGTATAAAACAAACCAGTTTCACGAAACACATTGTATTCTCTACCACACATGATGGCAAATTAACCTCGCATAATGTTAACTGAACACAATAATAACGTCTACCGCATACATTTGTATTTTTAACGTAGCCTAATTTATGGGGCTTCGTTACGGATCACTGCCATCACATGTCTGCTTGGGGTTCGAGTCTAAGATTCGGTGAATGTGGATATGTGAGATAGCTTGCTAGTAGCTTTTCGTGGGGCGGTAGTTCTTTTCGCGGATTTCCCGGTTTTTTCCTCCACCATTAATACTGGCCGCCATTTATAGCCTATCGTGTGCTTAAAAAAATGGCGTTCAGCCCCAGAACAACAACAGTTTATTGTCATCGCTATGATATTTCAGTGTGGCAGTTAAGTGTGATGTCTAGTACTGGGAGTCATGCCGCGGACATCTAGCATCATGTCCCACACCAGGCCGACCAGTCCTAACGCCAAATTCTTAATGCTGAGCGCCCAGCGAGTCACAAGTTAGTACCATTATTTATAAAGTCTTAGGTATGATTACCGGAGTTCGAACCCGCGACCTCCCGCATCCGAGGCAGACGCTCTAACCACTAGGTCACCGGAGAGGTTTTACCGCAAAGATGATAATATGGTTCCATTCGTAATGTAAACAACTACTGCATATGTTGAAATATACACTGCATATCATTCCTCGAAGACACTGACAATACTACTGGATGTAGTATAAAAAACAATGCACATATGCCCTGGTTAGCTCGGTTTGTTAAGGTTATTTTTTATGTGAATGCCTGTATATTGAAATAGACGTTAAAGAAAATACCTCTCTACTGAAATAAACATTAACGACAATACCTGTATATAGAAATAAAATTTAACCGGAATATTATGTATATTGAAATAAAATTAAAATAGAATGTCTGTATACTGAATGAACTTAAGACATAAATTATTAAAGGTATTCGAAGCTGAAGTTGTAGATTGAATAGCGCAGAATCTTTGATTTTTGTAATTATATCAAATCGAACATGGAAGAAGAAAATTGGCCACATCGGGTAATTTAAATACATTTAGTCTGTTTCTATCACCGGTCACCTTCATGTATATCGGTCCATACTTCCGTGTGTTTTGCAATTTTAATTTGGATGTTTAAAAAATGAAGTATTGCGAAAATTTAAATAGATTTTGTTCTGAATCTGGATTAGCAGCTTTAATAATTTGGGCCTTGAATCTCCATTGCCCTGGAAGGAGGGGGGTGCAGATCGCATTGTCAAGCGCCTTAATCTTAACTTGCCTTGGCAATGTCGTCCACGATTTTCCTCCTCTTGATCGTGATAAGTTCTATAGGTGTATTTAGTTTATATGACGCTTTTAATAGTTATGGATCAACACCTGCTTATAGACAATCAAAACGTGGATTAGTTCAGGCTTATGTTACATGCACATTGTTTTTTCAACACCTGCTTATAGACCGGTAAAACGTGGATTAGTTCAGGCTTATGTTACCTGCACATTCTTTTTTGTCTCCATTAACATTACATGGTCAGAAGCGTCTTCCTCATTGACGTCCCAGTCTACAAGTCGGACCAAACTCAAAAATCGAAAAAAAGATGGAAATGAATGAAGCGGATTTTGGTAGAATACAAAAGTCCTCTGAGAGGTTAAGACGACGGAGTCTTACTTCCGCTGGCAAAATCAGCTGTCAAATCGCAGTGCTAATTTTCCCCATTTCACCTTTCTTGAGAAAATGTTTGGGTTTTTTTTAGTAGACCTAGCGATACAAAGGTGGCGTAAATTGCTAGGGTCCATCCAACAAAGAGCATACAAGTGACGCGACATAACTATGTCTTCCTTTGTTGATAATTAAAATGACTGTAGTTTTGACCATATACTTTTCCAGCAGAAATCATTCCCCTTACTGCACTCAAATAAGAAACAAATGTGACATTTCCTAGGAAGCAATCCTTAGAATTTAGAATTTCAATTAAAAAAATTCATATTTTTTTCCTTACTTATGATTCCAAACAATAAATGGCAGAAAAGAAACATTTGTGTAGCTGCATCAAGGTCATTCCCTAGAGTCAGAGGTACATCGTACGGAATTCGACCTAGCTAATAAACTCAGTCAATCACAAGTAGAAAAGCAGAATTTTTTTTGATCGATAGATTACATCTTTCCATTCCAGACATACCGGAAATGTTTCGATGCGCATTCATTCACAATATGATTGAAATTTCAGTTAAAAATAGACTCAAACGATATTTCTTTTGAAACGAATAACTGAGCGCCCGATATGCTACTAAGTTCATAGACGTCTGAACAATACTATGTGTGCATTAATAAGTGTGCATTCAAATGTGTATGTATTGTTAAACATACAGTTGTGTATTCATTTTGGAAGTCAACATAAATCCAATAACTTTGTTTATTAAAGTGTGTTCTTTTAATTATTCACCTTTACGTAGAAAATCAAAATGTGTATGTCATAAAAAGGTAGGTACATTTGACGAAAAAATATGAACTCGCATTTTTTATGAGTAAGACTGCATTCATTTAATGTTGTGCAGTATTGCTCAGAAAAACTGGTTCTGTTCCCATTCATATATATTAACCTAACAATACTGTGGAGAATTCTTCTTGGCCACTATTTGTATTAATTTTATATCATAGATATCATTATCTCATTACATTCATACAATTTACATACCAAGGGTCTAACCTTTTGTCTTTTTTTTTTTTGCAGTAAATGAAAATATGTATTTAATTAAAGTAAGACCTAAACTTTAGATTAATTGAGTTTTAATATGGACCCTCTACATTACCAACTGGTTTGTAAAAATAAATTTAAAGTATTTTCTTCCCAGGATGCAGAATGATAAACACTAATGTCAGTCAAGTCGGAAAAATTATGTCGAACTTGGGTTCATTACATTTATTGGTCAAAGGTATCTTGGACAAATTTAATAAATCAAAGTTAACATATGTTTGTTCTGGTTTGGTTTAGTGTTTTATGGCATTTAAACAGGTTAGTTCATTCGGACACAATTGGAGTGAAGTGTTTTTGCAGGACACAAAGGTAGCTAAACCAGGCTGATTTTACTGTAGGATTCTAGCCAGTAACAGAAAAATTTTATACGCGGTATTTCTGAACGTACCGCTATACTTACCATACTATTCCGCAGTTATATTCCGGACTGTTATGATGCTGTGCTATTAAACTGTCAGAAAGAAGCGAAACCAATAAGCTTATTAAAATTAACAAATTTGTTTCTCTGCGTTATAAAGTGAAAATTTATGAGGAACATATAATAATGTGAATTAATAATTCTAAAAGTTCTATCACACGACCAAAAGTATAGTATTCCGAATGAATTCCAAAGCTGAATGAGCTAATGTAACAAGTCTTAGTTTATCGCAATGGCATAAACCAGAATGTCTTCAAACGAATTCACAATAACCCCAAAGTAATGTTTATGTTCAAATTTTTAACGAGCACTTTGTAATTATAATGAATTATTTGTTAATAAATGATTCCTCTAAACTTTTATGTGAAGACAACAGTACGAGACTGAATTTAAAGTAGAACTGAAACAATTTTGTTTACTTCAACCTTATATAAAAATCTAAGACTAAACAATGACCAAGTTTTGGGTCAAAAGTTGACTTCCACCTCAATGAAAGTTTGTAAATAATGTTAGACCAACAACTTAATATTCTGAGTCAGAAGCATTTATAAAATTCCGTCTGTCGATAGCTGGAATAAATATCTTGCTCCGATTTATAGCAAAATAAAACCATATCATAGCTGTTATATTGTTTGGAAAACGAAATTATTCTGAGACACAGAAATATGTCGGCTCAAAAGATAGTCGGAGCCCATACACCCCACCCTCGAAAAATAAACGGTAAGTACCTTATAGTAACTGAATTTACTATCCGTTTTATAATTGCTATTGTAAGCTAAAAACTGTAACTAAAGTGGGATAATTAAGCTTACTACATTATAGCTGGCACACTGAGAAAAACACTGCACAATAAGACAGCTTGTTGATGAAAACGAAGTTTTGACACTGAAGCCCACAGTTTCTAGCTACTCTATTACTATAGAGCCTTTCACGGTTTTAATCTGCCCTTGAAAACACCAGAGGGCCTCTCGGTTAAAATCACTTCCGGATAGTTCAATCAATAAAGGTGGTAGATGCAGATCAAGAAAATGTGACAGACCTCTCACATTTCGCAAGCAAGAACGATATCTCACTATCTTAGAAAGAAATTTTATCAATATTTTTTCAACTTTTATTTTTTTCAGTAACTTGCGCTGTCCTCAGCTTTCAAATAAATGTTATCTGCCCATTTCAAAACTTCATTATCTTTCCATTACTACTTCTTGCTTTAGTTTGTATTATTTGATTGTGCGAAAGTGTATCGCTGCATAAAATGATTGTAACAGTAATTTATCTCGCTTGAAGAATAATGAAAATGTGTTTATTTTCTTTACAGCTTTAATCATTGGAGTTATTGAAGGTTGAACGACAGCGAGAGAAAAAAAACTAACTTCTTAAGGTTCTTTTATTATCGATTTAGACTGTTGCATTTCTATTAATGTTCGTTATAATTTTCATGAAATAACTTGAGTTATATCTAGGAAGGATATAGTTTTCAAAATGTACAAATATCCTCCACGCTTGAACAGACAAGCGCATGTACGAGTCTCCTTGATTATTATTTTAATTTTATTTCCTTGAACGGGTTGGAGTTTACAGTTTGGAGAAATATTGATATTATATACACTATGTATGTATATGACATTTGTGGCTCTCACCTGTCTTTCTTTCTGTCTCATTTCATCTGATGCATGGACGGAATCTGTTAAATATGGACATTGTATTTAATGTAATTATTTGATATCATTTTAGTGTGGACAGGAAATATTATTTAATTATCTGATATAATGTAAGTATGGACACCGACTCTAGTTATTTGATGTAATGAAAAATAATTATTCTCCTAGCATGAGCAAAAGATGTTAGACATATATAATTTATTCATTGATTTAACCATAATGATTTGTAGTACAGCTAAAACTGCGAAATTCTGAATTATCCGGAACTGGAAATTTTTGTGAACATGCGCATTGGAACTAAGGTAGGAATTTTTAAGCGCTACGATCAGTAACTCCACTGCAAGCGTGAAACCCTCTATAAGAGGCTAGAAAACATTGAGTGGGATGCCAACACTTGAACAAGATATTTATCAGAAATGGCCAGTAAATATATAACACACTGACTCAATAAGAGACCAAATATTGAGTGGACTTGACAAATTATGTAAAATTCACACTGTAGCAATTTCTCTCCTGAAAATCTTATTATGATTCGCAGTCTTGCATATGAATGTACATTTAACCCAATACCATACTCTAGTAAATAAGAAACCAATGACGATTTTTTTTTAAATTTCGTTTTCTTTAATCTGACATTTTTCTAATAGATGGTACTGGCCCAATTTATTTTGCTATTTCATATTTGACAACCAGGTTGGTAAAAAAATGTAAACCTGCGATAATATCATTAAATTCGTAATAGGATTACTCGGGAATTT